AAAAGGTAGAAAATTTTCTCTTTTTTTTTTTTTTTTTTTTTTTTTTGAGACAGGGTCTCACTATGTAGTCCAAGGAGATCTGGAAGTCACTATGTAGCCCAAGCTGGGCTCAAACTGATGGCAATCTTCCTGCCTCAGCCTCCCAAATACTGGGTTTATAGGCACGTGCCACCATGCCCACTTACTCCATTTTCTCTTCTGGTAATAAACTTCCTAAATTTCTGCTGTTGAAAAAAATAATAATCTAGTAATCTTTCTCTTATTAGTCTCTTGTTCTTCTGGACTGTTGCACAAAAGATTTTTCTTCTAAACCTAGTAATTTTCTCAAAATTTGTCTTGGTATTGGTTGTTCTGGATTAATATTCTTAGATGTGTAGTGTATTTTCAATTTTTATTTCACTAGAGTTTTTGAAATTATACCCTTTGGTATTTATTTAGGCCAGTGATGCTAATACAAATTTTAAAATGGATAATATTTAAAACAATAATTATTCCCCAAATGACTTCATACTATTAGTAATACAGAAAAGTATATTTCCACCTAATTTGTTTTATTCTTCAACTACTATTCTTCTGTGTATATATGTATTTTTTATTTAGAGAAGCAAGGGATTTAACCCAGGTCCTTCCACAAGCTAAGCATTCTACCACTGAGCTACATCTCCAGCCCCTATTCTACAATTTAATCTCAGTATTTAAGTGGCACAATAATATACATAAAATTGAGTCTAAAAAATACTTTCAAAATTATATGACTAACAATTGAAATTAATATTTATGAATCAGATATCCACTCTCTAATTTTAAAAATAGCACCTGGCACCTAATTTACTCTCATGTGTTATTATGCCTATAGAATTTTATCCAGAAAAAAACGCTTCATTAAATTTTTACTATTTTAGCTGGGCGTGGTGGCACACACCCGTAATCCCAGCACTCGGGAGGCTGAGGCAGGAGGATCACTGTGAGTTCAAGACCAGCCTGAGCGACAGTGAGTTCCAGATCAGTCTCACTACATAGTGAGACTCTGTCGCAAAAAAACCAAAAAAAAAAAATTTTTTTTGATATTTTAAGACAAGAGCCAAAAATAGATAAATTGTGCTAAATATGATACAAAACAACTATATGAACAAAGATAATTGTCTTACCATCTCTAAAAGAATAGCTTGGGTTTTAGCCTCCTTTTCTGCCTTTATTTCTTCTACTTCTTCAGCTGATCTTCCTTTGAAGTCATCAATTTCTTCATCTGCTCCTATTCGACCACTCTGTAAGGCAAAATTTACGATAATAAATATCTAAAGACAAGTGCAAGGTCCGAAGCTTGATTTCCAGTATCAAAAAACTTAAAAATTAAAAAAATTAAAAATAAATATCGAAAAAATTTAAAAAATTTAAGAAACTTGGAAGACATTATACTTTATTCTTACTTCCACCAAATGCATTGAATAGCAACTGAAACAACTTAAACACCACTGAAGGGCCAGGTGTGGTGGCACATGCCTGTAATCCCAGCACTCGGGAGGCTGAGGCAGGAGGATCGCTGTGAGTTCAAGACCAGCCTGGACTACATAGTGAGTTCCA